ATTGTTGAGTGAAACAGATGAACCAGAATTGGTTTGTAAGAATGGTGCAACTTCAGTGATGTGGAACTGGTTTGGTGTTTGTCCGTCAGATACACGACAAAGCACATTTTTTTGCAGAACAGGCAAGCGGCCGTCGTTATTGTCCTATTTGTCGGACTAAGATTATCTTAAATGTGGGAGTAATCTGGGTCCTAAACTCCGTAGCTTCTGGTCAAACGAACACTGCAGCATCACTGAGAGTTAAAAACTGTCTAAATTCTTTCATGTTTAATAAAACGATCAGCATTGCTGCTTTACCAGGTGTAACTATGAAGTTTAACTTCCAGGCATCCATGAAAACAAAATGTATTACATTTAACGGAGTTAGAAGTTAGCAGGAAGCTAGCGGAAGTTAGCTCGCTAGTTTCGCTAGTTACCTAAGCATGATATTGCATGTTCTGACTGAGAGATTTCTGAAAAAAATCAAACTTACAGCTCTGCTATCACTTCCAACATAAATGAAGCCAGAAAACTAAACAGCAGTGACGTTTGTAGGGTTACTGAAGTTGGGCTAGCTGGTATATAATGATGTGCTACGTGATCGCTAGCGACACAGCTATGTTAGCATAACATAAACAGTGAAGCTGGAGGAAGAACACTAACACTTTTCCACTTATAAAAGTTAACGTGAAGGTTCCTGATGGTTAGAGACAAATGCAGACGCATGGCAGGATGCTGTAAACGGACAAAACTTCAGTCAGGAGAACAACTGAGATAATCCATCCACAATACGAGGTTAGTCATTAATATACTGCAACAACATGGGAATAGAGCAGCTGCCAGAGAATTCAACATTAATGAATCAATGGTACAGAAGTGGAGGAAGCAAGAAGAATGAGTTTAATAAAGTTTGATTTATCTGACGTATAAGTGCCTTATAATCCCGTGCACCTTATGGTCCGAAAAATACGTACTGCACACTGCAGTTTAATGTTGCAAAGCACCTCTTTTTAACTAAAGTGGATATTATACATGGTTATGCTCAGGATATGTCAGCCCATTTCTACTGGAAATGCCTTTTGGTTAAACTTTCAGCAAGGAATTTGCATTTGCACTGTTACATTTTTATAAAGCTTTAATGTACATAAAAACCAACTTCTTGTTTAAGTGAAAATAAATGGAAGGTTGTCTTTTTGCGCTAGTAATGTTGTGGAGTTGTATTTTGTCTTGCATCAATTATATCGTCAGTTATATCGTTATCGCAAATTTTCAAATATATATCGTGATAAATATTTTTGGCCATATCGCCCTGCTCTAGTTGCTGGAGTACTTTTCTATGCTGTGGTGTGCTGGGGGAGCAGCACAGCAAAGAAGGACTCATGCAGGCTGGGTAAACTGATCAGGAAGGCTAGCTCTGTGGTCGGCATGAAGCTGGACACTCTGGTGACAGTGGCAGAGAAAAGGACACTAAAAAAACTGCTGGACATTATGAACAATGCTGGGCATCCTCTGCACACGGCCATAAATAACCAGAGGAGTCTGTTCAGTGACAGGTTGCTTTTCCCAAAGACAAGAATGAACAGACTTAAAATCTCCTTTGTCCCACACGCCATCAGACTGTTTAACTCCTCTCTGGAGGGGAGAGGGAGGGGAAACAGGAGGACAAAGGAGGGGGGAACAAGTGCCTCTTCACTTCACTGTGCAATACGTTTTGTTAATAGTCAACGGTGCAATAGACTTCAATACTTGAAATGTGCAATTCCCTTGTCTCTGTATTGATATATGTGTATGTATATAATATTCTGCTCACGTTCTGTAACTTCTGTCGGTGCTGTGCAATTGGAAACCGAATTTCCCAGAGGAACCCACCCGAGGGATTAATAAAGTTTTATCTTATCTTATCTTATCTTATCTTATATATACTCAGAATACTGCATTCCATGTTGAAAGGGTCCATCATTCCATTGAAAGGCTTGTTTCATTAGATCAACAGCTCAAAAAGCTACATTTGTGATATTTATTTATATTTATATTTATTTACCTGTGCTAACAAATCAAAATGATGTTTGGCATTGGTTGCGTAGTACCAACATTTAATGTGTTTCTGCTAGTTATGTTAGCATACTTCACACACAATCAGTAATTTAGATAAATTTATTAAATTAATTTGTTCAGCCTGAGGTGGCAAAAAATCAGCAGGATCATTCATAAGTTTACTGTAAATAATATAAGATTCATTCTTTGATTTGATTTAAAATATGTGTTAAATATTTTTTAAATAAAAAACATCAGATTACCTGTTTAAACCTCAGCAGTGAATGTGTCAAGAGATGGAGATGGTGAGGGTATCATCTGAGAATGTCCTGTGACTGTTCAGGCAATAGCACTTTTATGCTTTGTCCCAGGTCATGTGACCTACACGCGACAGTTTTTGTTTTGTTTTTTAACACATAAAGCATGGATGCTGAGAAACAGCATGCCATGAACACAAACATATTTGTGATTTTGGAGCTCTGAAAAATAATGCTTTATTACTTAAAAACAAGAAAATTTGCATTTTGATCACACATTATAAATACATGATAACATGATATGAGTTTTGATTCCCAATACTATATTTTTGTTAAAAAATATTTTTGTGATCTTTATGTGAAAATCAGAAGGTGCACAAGACATGGTGACAGTAAAAAAGAAAGAACTGTATTGTCACGGAGCTGGAAAGACTCTCATATAAGAAAAAGAAAATGACATTTCACATTCACCCGAGGCAATACATCAGCTAAATTCTTGGCATTCAAATGACTTACAGGAAATGAAACAATCCAACAGGTTAAACACTATTACTCTTGTCTGTGAAGGTTCTCAGTCATCCAGGTCATCGTAGTCTAAGGAGCTTGGAAAGAAAAGTGTCTGGACTTCTTTAAGTTTCTTGAATATGTTTCACCTCTCATCTGAGAAGCTTCTTCCGTTCTAGGGTCAAATGGTCCCAGATTTAAGCCCTGTTTGAGTGTCCTCCCCCCCCCATGAGGGACAATGGACCCCCTAATGATCCTCTACCTAATCGCCTGAGCCAAGGTGTGAAAACAGGTGTTGGTCACAATCAGCCAAGGTTTCGGGTGAGCTCATTGTGAAACCTGGTACCACCCTATCATGTGATTTCCTGAGGTCAGATGGCCCAGGATGTGAGTGGGCGTTAAGGCGTCTGGGAAGGGATCTCAAAACTGGATTATAGATGGCAGAGAGTTGGTGTCGTAAACCACCGCCTCTGTTCAAAGATGGTCGCTCACAGTCGACATAAATGGCTTCTTTTACCCCTCTTTCAAACCATCTGTCTTCTTTGTCCAAAATGTGTACATTGGCATTCTCGAAAGAGTGACCTTTGTACTTTAGATGCAGATGGACAGCTGAGTCTTGTCCTGTGGAGGTGGCTCTTCTATGTTGTGCCATGCGTTTATGAAGTGGCTGTTTGGTCTCTCCAATGTAGATGTCTGGGCATTCCTCGCTACACTGTACAGCATACACTACATTATTAAGTTTGTGTTTAGGAGTTTTGTCTTTGGGATGAACCAGTTTCTGTCTGAGCGTGTTGCTGGGTCTGAAGTAAACTGGGATGTCGTGCTTGGAGAAAACCCTCCTGAGTTTTTCTGATACACCAGCTACATAGGGGATGACAATGTTGTTGCATTTGTTTTTCTTATCCTCTCTAGCTGGTGTCTGATCTTTTTTTCTGTGCCTCTTTGCTGACTTGATGAAAGCCCAATTA